GTGTTTCCCAGATTCAGTTGCCCCAACCTTTACTCTGAAAGTATAGGGAGACTCACTGGGCTCTATAATAAGGCAGATTGCCTCTGAATCAGGCTCAATCTTATGCAACTGAGCATGGCTCATCTTATTATAAAGGTCGTCCTTCCATTCAGATCTCATCTCCCTACAGTTTCAGAGCTCTCCCTGCCTCTGATTCCACTACCACCACTCCCAAACTGTCTTCTAATTATTAGAATACCACTCAGTCCAGTCTTTGTTAGAGTAGTGGGATTTAATGGAACAAGTATAGATGCTCTAGGCAAAAGGCTTTGGCTCTCTGTATATGGGCAAAGTATATAACTCATGTTATATATTTGGTTCCCATGCCTCTCTTATACTTACAGTTCTTTGAAAATAAGGATCATTTCCTCAAATGCCTCTTTAATTGTAAGGGTATGTTTAAAAAGAAAATTGAGGAAGGCTGATATAAATAATTTATCTTTCAGAATCAGATCCTTTAAAAAAAAATGACGTTTTTGGTTGGGAAGTAGCAGTGAAGAGAAGGAAAAGTACCACTCAGGTCAAAACAGAGATAAAGTCTAGACTCTAGGAGGTGAATTCTTCTGATTTCATAATCTGCAGTATGGCTGACCCTATCTAAAGCCTTTCTTACAGCAGCTGCCAATTTCAAGTTGCCAGTTGATACCATATAACCCTCTGATAGGAATATACTCATTCTGATTAAGAGTTCCAAATTATCTTTTATGGATTCTCCCCAAATGTCAGTTGAACGCTCATCAGGGATTTATTATTTTATCTTTCAGGCAAATCTGAAATATCATGACATCTCCTAATGCCTTTAACCGCAGTTCCCTTGGGAACCTGTATATTGGGCTCCAGAAGACATGAAGTGCTTCTATTTATACTGAACACATGACTATTCCAATATCTCCCTTCTGCCCATCTACTGTACATTCAGAGACCCAGAAGATTCCTTTCTATTTACTTGTCCATTTCAAAACAGGAAGAAATCCGTATTCTTTTCAATTACTCGCTTATATCCCAACATAAGAAAAATTCCCTTAAAAATAAGTCCTCAGACAGATTTGAATATTTTCTTATGGTAAGACTGTGGGTTGGGCACCTAAAAGGCATTCATAACCCTTCACCTGTGCCTTCTACTCTACAAAGGTTGGAAAACTAAAATGATTCTCCATAGTTCCTTGCTGTTGGAGACACCGAGTGACTCAGTTTTAGCCAATGAGATACAAGTGGAAATCCCCGGAAGGAGCTTCCAGGAAAGCATTTAAAAAGGACAAAACCTGGCTGACCTGTGCCTTTGGCATGCTTTAGACCTCACCATCCCCCCCCTTTTTTAAAGATTTTATTTATTTATTTCAGAGAGCAGGAGCAGAGGGGAGGAGCAGAGGGAGACAGAGAAGCAGACTCCCCAATGAGCAGGGAGCCTGATGCAGGGCTGGATCCCAGGACCCTGAGATCATGACCCAAGCCAAAGGCAGATGCTTAACCGACATAGCCACCCAGGCACCCCCTAAAGCTTTTCATCTATTGTTATTATTAATGATCTTCCGCTATCAGCAACATGATAAGGTACATTATAACGCTTTAAAGACTCAAAGGCACATTTAAAATATGGAAAGAATTAAGTTTCTTTCATTCTACATATGCACTGAAACTAGTGGCTCTCTTCACTGAATAAATTTCAACACTTAAAAAACGAACTTAAGCCTGAAAACTGTATTTATATAAAGATAGCTTCTAAACTCATCAAATACCTTCTCATACTTATTTTTGTAATGACGTTCTTTTTTTCTATCCCAATTTGCAATATATTGCAAATGATCAAATCCTAGCCTGCAATCTTTTATGTAGTCCTAAAGAACACAATGAATTTTTCTCCCTAGAGTTATTAAATTCAGACATTATGTAATTTAATGCCTGGAGACACTTAACTGCTGCTGACATTTTTGACACCAAATGTAATTAGTAACCTAGAATTCTTTCTCCAAAACTACCTATGACATATGTGAAGACCCAAAATTGTAACTCAAGATTAAAGTCTTACTAACCTTTTCTGCAAAATATTAAAGCTGTCTAATCTCATATTTTGCAAATATAATAAAGGAAAATGAAAATGCCATTAGCAATGGCAAGTTATGACCATTTCAGACCTGGATAAAACAATAATGCTTTTTCACGTATTCATGTAATTCAGAACAAACTGGTTAATTTATTCCTCTGAGAAGTTGCTTCAAATTGTTTGAGACATAACTTAAAAGAAAGCTAAGGTACGAACAACCACCAAAGAAATGGGAGACTTTCCTAAAAACCACTATTTTGACCATGTCATTCCTATGCTCAAAATCTTTTAATAGCTCTCTACTACTTTCATAAATTCAAACTCTGTGGCCCATCCTCCCTTTCCAGCTTTACTCCTCCCTATTTTCCCACCCTGATCAAAATTATTCTATTTATTCCAAAAGAATTTCATACTACTCAATTTTTTGTAAGGATATTCACAAGTTACTGTATAAAGAAATTATGAAATTTAGAAACAATTTAAGGTCAAAGGAACATCCAAAGAATAGCACATTATCATTAAAAAAATAAAAAACAAAACAAAACCCGATGAATCACAGATCTGTACCCCTAAAACAAATAATACATTACGTTAATAATAAAATATACATATTAATCAAAAATAAAATAAAATTCTCAACCAGAATTACAGACAACCTCAGATATTTAGAATACAACTGAGTGTGACATATATACCTAAACCTAGATATTCTGGAAAGAGCTCAAGTACCTTCTCTAAAATATGGGGACTGAAGAAATCCCACATAAGTACACATCCTATTGTACATATGCTAGAAATGTGATTCTACCTTCGGATAATTTGGAGTTCAGAAAAATAAAACATATGTGATCTGATAAAAAAAAAAAGTCATGTTCTCCAAGAGCATGAAGATATGCTTACAGACCTATTTTAAAAACTGAGAACCGTGACTATTTTTTAAAATGTTACAAAGAATAACAGGTTATTCTAGAAACCAAAAGCACATCATTACTACTAAAAAACAGCTAGGTAGCATAGTTCAGAAATACCTACTCACCATAATGAAGACATAACGGAGAAATAGTTTTCCTAAATATCAGCTACAGATAATTATCACAGGACTGGCTATATTGCCACCAAGAATTAAATGTAATAGAAACAACTAAATATCTAAGTTATTAAATACATCTTTAAAGAATACAACTATAATTTATTCCTGCAAAAAAACTATTGATATGCTAAATGGATCTTATCTTTCAAAAGACTAAAAGGTTTGGGGGTTCCAAGAAGCACTCTTGGAATTTTATTACCACCAAACCTATAATATTTCAGTATATACTTAATAAATGAAATAAATTGTCTAAAAAAAAAAGGGATATGGTACTGCCCCCCACCCCACCCCTACTTCAGCCATAAAATTCTGGAACTCTGTTTCCATTGTGAAACGTCATGGGCTTGATACAGAAATTCTGTAGACAATTTTGATAAATGCTCTAAATCTTTAATAGACTACTAGATTTATGCAAAACACAAGAAGCACAGAATAATTGTTATTAAAACTGCTTTCATAATATTCAGAAACTACCAACTCACTTTGGAAACAAATTAACCAATAACTAGTGACAATTTTTATTCATATAAGAACCCAAAGGATTCAACAAGTCCAATTAAACCATGTTGAGAGCAAAGGACTATTTGTTTAATTCTAGCATTTAGAATATTTTAAAAGTCTTTACAATTTTTTCAGTCTTGTAATAGTCCTTTAAAGAAAGAAAAGAAACCAGAACTCTAAGTCCTTCATACACCAAAAGTATAGCCCAAATCCATTCTTTTTTCTATTTTCTCAGCTACCACCTAGTTTTAGTAACCAACACTTCCCCTAAATGCCTCCTAACCGACCTCTCTCTAGGTTTACTCTTGTGCTCCTACAATCCTTTGTCTACACAAGCAGAACATTTTGTGCAAAATGTACACAAGATCATATCACTTGTCATCTTAAAAGTCTCCCACCACAAATGATGAAATTCAAACCCCTTATAAGATGTAACGTGACTCTCTGGCTCTCCTACCATGCTCTAGCTGTGTAATAGCCTTCTTTTTATCCTCAAACTCACGCGCCCTCACACACCTGCTGCTCCCTTTGCTAGAAATGCCTTCCACTCCCTCATTTCCCGACTCTCCATGTGGCTTGCTCCTCTTCAGGATTCAGGCCTCATCTCTAGTGTAAAGTCATCAGACTTAGCATATAAAATTTGGGTAAATACTTTTAAATAAATTATTCACTGTTTATCTGAAATTCTAACTGGGGCATCCTGCTCCAGTGTCATCTCTTTAGAGGTTTTCCCTATTATCATCAAATCTGAAGAATCTACTCTATCATAATCCTATTTTCTTCATAGTATCTGTCAATCTCTGGAAATTACCTTGTTCATTTCTTTGGTTTACCCATTTATTGTCATTTTCTACCTCCATCCTGTAACATGTAGTTCACCTCTCTCTTCTAACCCTCATGCCAAACCTCTGCCCCATGCTAGCACCATAAAAACAGGGTCTTTTCTTGTTTTGAACTGTTTCCCAAATCTAACACAGCACCTAGTACAAAGTAAGCACTCATAAAACATCTACTGAATGAAAGAATGCTCTAAATTTACTTGCTTTCTAAGGTGTTTAGAATTATTTCCTCCTAATTCCATCCTGTGAAATAATTTTAAAGTTCTAGAAGGAAAATCAGACAAGGTTTCTAATGCAAGCAAGTGATCTGAATACCACAGTTTTATGTGATTCATTTTATTACTATTGTACTGCAACAAGACAAATAAGAGCTGTTCAAAATTATTTGTACATGACCAGAAATAACTCTATAAATACAGAAACATTATTAAAGGTATGCTTATAGAAAACAAACTTTATAAGGATGTAAAACTATGCAAATCCACTGTACCGTCTTAATAGAACTCCTTTGTTTTTCTTCCCAAACACCACTGCTCAACTCGAGTGTACAATGAATATTTGCCTCTCTGTCATAGGATCCAAAAATGAGTAACCTGCAGTATAAAAATAAAACAAGGAGACTATTATACCAGTTATATGCAATAAAATTTTTCTCTGATTATACCAAGAAATAATAAATTACTCCATTACTATTTATAATTTTGGTAATGGAAAAAAACAAAATTAAGTCAAACACTTAGTACACCCTCTAGTGGAAAAGTGAAGTAAAGCTAAAATTAGGTGAAATTCCGGGATAAGCAGTTTCTTAGCAGCTAAGTCAAACAGAAAGTAGTATGTATTCATGAGGCAAACAAACTGACCAGACAGCAAAAGCTTCAGATCTTCAAATCAGACTGTTGAATTTAAAAAATAAGTTGCAGAGTGATATACATAGTATCATACCACCTCTGTAAAAATTAACACATTCATAAAATAGTACAATATAGTTGCTTATGAACACACCCACACACTTATCCATCTAACAGTGTGACTTCAGGCAAATTATTTAACTTCTCAAAAACCATCTCTTTCTCTGAAAAATTCAGGGCAAAAATAATACCACTTAGAGCTGTTGTGAGAACAGAAGATGACAATGCATACAAGGCATTTAATATAGCACCTAGCAAACACTAAGTGTTCCAAAAGTGTTTGCTATTTCTATTATCTTGAAAACAATTGTGAAGGAATAACAGCATCACCTAATTTTACTGTTTAATATTCAGATCTAAAAAGGAGATCTCAGGCCCAATCTTGAGATGATATAAAGCAGTCTTATTATTGAAGGAAAAAAATATTACCCATATGTCTAGCTTCCATATTACCTGTCTTCTAAATGAGAACATAAGTCTACCAAAGTATTTCAAGAGTAAGCTTGAGAATAGCTTTAGCGTTAATCAACATTTTGACTGCTACTCTATTACTTTATGTCTACACAAAGATCATGGGGGTAGAAGTGAGATGAAAAAAAACAAGGTAGATAAAACTTATTAGAGTAATATGAGAAAACTGTAGATAAAACTTATTAGAGTAATATGAGAAAACTGTGTCCTAAGGTTGGAGACCACTAGCAAATCATGTCCATACTTCACAAACTGGCTTCATAAACTAAAAACCTGAATAAACTCATGGCAAAACAAAAACAAAACCAACCCTAAATTTAAATAGTTTTTAATCTTAAAAGTAAATTTAAACTTAGTGCTTAAGAGCCTACTGCCAAAAAATTAAGATGATTCATAATTATAAAATACTAAGTTTAGAAAAATGAGAATTTTCATTCATCAAAGCTCTGCTGCCACCATCTGGTCAAAAGAGTAAACTACCTACAGGCCTTTACTACCATGCACAGAAGGCTATGCACCAAATTCCCAGAAAGATATTAAAATTCCCAAAAGATATTAATCTTCAGGATTCAGAAATGAGAAAGCACACTTATCAGAATCCTTCCCTGAAACTACAACACTTTTATCATATTTTTATAACACCTTTTTAACGTTTTTTAAAAAGAATAACACAAAACAATGATTAACTCAAAATGAGTCACAGAACTAAATATAAGAGAAGAAAACATAAATTCAAATCTTTGTGACCTTGACTTAGGTGATGGTTTCTTAAGATAGGACAGCAAAAGTACAAGTGCCTAAGGGAGAAAAAAATAAATGGGACTTCAACAAAATTAAAATTTTTGTGCTTCAAAGGACATCACCAAGTAAGTGAAAAGACAATTCACAGAATGGGAGAAAATATTTGCAAGTTAGGCATCTCATAAGGGTCTAGTATAACTCAACTTAAAATTGGACATTTCTCCATAGAGGATATGCAAATAGCCAATAAGGACATGTAAATAGGCTCAACATCATTAGCCGTCAGGGAAATGAAAATCAAAACCACAATGAGATGCTGCTTCACACTCACTAGATGGCTAATCAAAAAAGGAGACAAGTACTGGTGAGGATGTAGAGAAATGAATACCTGTACTTTGCTGGAGGGAAGTAAAATGGTGTAGCCACTATGAAAAATAGTTTGGCAGTTCCTTCAAAAGTTAACATATGATGCAGCACATCCATTCCTGGTATATAACCAAGAGAAATGAAAGCATACGTTCATGCAAAAACTTAACATGTATGTTCATAGCAGCATTATTCTTAATAGCCAAAATGTGAAAACAACCCATAGGCCCATCATCTGATGAAGAGGTAAATAAAATGTAGTATATACACACGATGGAATATTATTTGGCAATAAGAGGAAATGAATTAATGATAAATAATATATGCTACAATATGAATGAACTTCAAAAACATACTAACTGGAAGAAGCCAGTCACAAAAGACCACATACTGTATGAATCCACATTTATATGAAAGGTTTGCAGTAAGCAAATTTATAGAGACAGAAAGTAGATTAGTGGTTACTTAGGACTGGGGAGGACTAGGGGGATTAGGGATTGACTGCTAATGGGTATGGGGTTTCTTTAGGAGGGATAAAAATGTTCTAAAATTAGATTGTGATGATGGTTGCACAACCCTGTGAATGTACTAAAACACAATGAATTGTACACTTTACATGGCTAAATTGTACGGTATGTGAATTATACCTCAATAAAGCTGATTCAAGAAAAAAGAATAATGTATGATCATGACAATGAACAGTAATGATTAGGGTTACATTAAAACTTTTAAACATTTTAATATTCGTTACAAAAAGATATAATACTTGGCTTATCATTACTATGAATCAATATATTGTGACAAGATTCATATTTCAATAAAGCGTAAGCATGATTTTTATCTGGTATTTGATAACAGAAAACATTAAAAGGGTACCTTGAAACCAAATAAATTCCAAATGAAAATCATTTAAAATACTGAAATACCACAAATATTTAACATTTAATAGTTATTCTTAACAATGAAATTTTAAAGTACACAAAGCATTAGTTGCCCTGATAAACCTGATCCCAGACACAGAAAACTTTCATTTTGCATTGCTAACAACCGGTCCAACTGTTAAAAGTATTTCCAAAAACACCTCCAGATTGGCTGTTAGGGTTCATTTTGCTTCACATAACTTTACTTCTTTTTTTAATAATGAAGATATTTTGCCTGACTGTCCAGAACTTGGTTTTACCACTGAAACAGATACTGCTTTTATTAATTCTGATTTTAGATCAATTTCTGATTCTATGTCAGAGTATCCCACAACATTCACATCTTCTCTTTACGTTTCTTCCATTAAAGCACTTACAAAGAACTGTAGCCTATAGTGAATATTCAAATACTAGAAAAAGCCGGGAAACATTATTAGTACTCTAACAAAGTAACTTTAGTTTCTCTCAGAAAAGTTAACAACACAACACAGAAGCTTGTGTCATACTGCCAATTTAAGGATTTATTTTGCTTAGAAAACTTATTTCTTGAAAAAAAAAGCATCATTTCCTAGGGTTTGTATAAAGTATACTACATATGTAAATTTATTAATATTTATTTTGTTTGCAAGAATGACTCCCAATTAGCAGACAGGGCAAAAGCTACACCCAAGACTGACTGCTCAGACCATGACTGTTCCCCTCTATAAACTCCATATCTGGTCCTCAGGACATACTTCCTATCAGTGTTTCCTGTGCCTGCTTTTGATGTGTGATCAGTGGATTCCTTCACCCAATAATGACTATGTTGAATGCTAAGCTTTAATTCTCACAATAGAATTATAACATTTTCCTCCATTTTCTTGATCTCTTGACTGTTATCTCTTGAGATTTGGAAAAACATGTAAATTTCTGGAGAAATGCCAGGAAGAATTTCCTACCAGAAACACAAGTACCAGCTAGTTAGGTGAATTTAGAAAGCATTTGCTTTAGTTTAGGCAGAATATTTAAAACAAGAATCAATTTTCATCCTACATCCCTATGCACTTACAATTCAGTCTTGAGTTAAACAAAGGCTTTCCATTCAGATTATATAAGCACGAGAAATACACAGTTACAATCACTGGCTAATACATATTTTGAGTTAAATGAACACTCAATATATGCTGAATAAGCAAGAAGTGGTACAAAAATTTTTTACTAAACTACTTTGAAAGGGGGAAGAGTCCATACTGCTGAACAAAATGACAAAGGAAATTGCCTTTAGACCTGTCTCCTGAAAGAGATATTATTTCCAAGTTCAAAAGGTTAATTTTTTTAAAGACAGAGGTATATTGAAACCTCATGTTAAACATAAACACAAACACCACCTATCAAGAGACAGAATTTATATGACTCAAGACCAAACCACTGAGAAAAGGAAAGTAATTCCCAATGTGCCCTTTTATAAGAATCTCATTTTACACCAAAAAGGAAAAAAAATAAAAAAAAATTTTTTTTTTAATGATTAATTTGAAAGGAGTCTTGCACCTGTAGGGAGTCAAATAACAACTCACTGGTTGTGAAAAGAATCAAATGTAGCTGACCTCCTCCTATACAGGCTTAGGGCCTATACTACCCCTCCCTTCCCCCTGAAACCATCCTACTCAGAACTCAACTCTCTTGTCTTTGACAAAGACTTCCAAACCTAATGTCCAGTTTTTGTCTTTTTCCTGCTTTGCTTCTTTTTCTTTTTTAAAAAGATTTATTTTGAGAGAGAGAGAGAGAGAGAGCGCGTGCGAGTGGGAGGGGCAGAGGGGGAGAGAGAGAATCCCAAGCAGACTCCACGCTGAGCACAGAGCCCAACCCGGGGCTCGATCTCATGACCCCGAGGACCATGACCTGAGCTGAAATCAAGAGCTGGAAGCGCAACTGACTGAGCCACCCAGGCACCCCTCCCCTGCTTTGCTTCTAAAACCCCAAGTTTACAGAACACTTGTACAGGGAAATCTAACCATACCCTACTACTAAAGATATATGAAATCACATTCATCTCCCTCTGAAAAAAGCACCTGTATTTCTCCCACTAGTCCTAAGAGGCAGTAGCTGTGTCTTGCTCTTTATAACCTCCAATATCTAGAAAAATAATCAACACTTGATGACCAAATGGAAGTCAATTTTACCATAATTTTACTCAACTCAAATCTCTAA